ATATATATATATATAATGCATCTTGAGAGATGTGTGTCTTATTACTATTAATAATATTATGTCTTTTTTCCAGGATTGTAGTAAATCTCGGAAAAGCGTTTCATGTTGTCATACGCAACAAGCGCGCAATGTAACGTGAACATGCCTCGTCTTCCATCTTGTCGAGCCNGCTTGAAGTGGAAAGGAGACGGAACATAATATGTCTGCACTCTTCCACGAGCCGCCGTGACGTCACGCACACGGACGTCGGTTCTCGCTTGTGTGCGTGTTCCCAGTGGCTCCCAACACCTCGGTGCTCATGATGCTAGCCGGCTCGAGTTTGCATCTATGAATGAGGGGTGCCCTCTCTGTGAAGAGTCCGGCCGGGAGTCTTCCCACCGAATGGGCGGGGCTCGGTGTTTGGCCATCGGCCGGAGGGCTCCCGTGTTAGCTAACCCTGACGAGGGTAGGGAGGATGCGGTTTCCTCCGGCTCAGATACAAGGATCCGAGGATCCGCTCCTCCGTATATCTGGTGCGTTTAGCACCAGATATAGATGGTGACGACTGGTTCTCTTTTAACCCTCGGAGAACAGACTGGGTCAATTTGACCCTGTTCGTCGACTTTGATCAAAATAGTTTGCTTCAATTTTGCTTTTTTGTAACATATTTTTTACAATGTGTATAATGTTAACGACACTTTAAAAACTATATAGGCGTATTCCAAACTGTTCAAAATATATCCGAAAATTTTTTCATCCCAATCGGATAAGTGCATTTTAAATGGTAGCATCTCAAAAAGTGGACAGGGTCAAATTGACCCAGATTGTTCTTTTTGATTGAAAAAATAAGTGTGTTCTTCGAGGGTTAAGAGACCAAGCAGGGTTGGGTGGAGGTTTGGTCCCCGTTGTTTTGAGCCCTAGTTGGGGCTCAACTCTGCGGTGGCTGGACGCAGTGTGGGGGAGTACCTCTCTTTTGTCTCCCGTTTTGAGACAATAAGGAGGTCAATACTACTATCATGGAATCAAGTCCGCTTCGGCGTTTGACTTGACGCCGAGAGGGGTTTCCCCCTCATTGCACTTGGCCCGCAGACAGCGGGGGTGAGGCTGTGTCCCCCCTTTTCCCGATCGTGGAAGAGTTTTGCTCTTCCATTTAAGTTTATAGGGGGGCAAAAGTCCCCATGCTTATTGGGCTGGCTCTGGGTCAAGCTACAAGCAGTACCGGGGCAGCCCTCAAAGGGTGGAAGGCGGACACCGCAGGGGTTTTAATGGGTATTCTCCGCCGGGGTGCGTTCTGGCGGGCCGAGTCTCACACTACTCTGGCCTAGACTTAGTCTGGGTCAAGGTGTGCGTAAACGCATTTCCCCTGCGTAAATAAAAAAAAGGTTGTGGCCGAAGTACCCTCGGCTCCCAAAAAGAAGGGCAAAGAGCCAGGCAAGCCTGCCTCCTCTTCACGCTCCTTTTCGAGAAGTAAGAAAATGGCAAAGCCGTTGGAAGGCAAGGGGACCCAACCCGGGACACCGGCGGTAGCCGGCCTCGGAACTTGGGCCCAGGTAATAGGTAGGCGGGCCAAGGGGCAGTCAAAGGCTCAGGCCAAAGCTGCCTCAAACCCCGCTGTGGTAGGTGCCCGTCAGGGCAAAGGAAATGGGCCTGGGAGAAAGGGTCATAAGACCGGCGCCCCTGGCCCGGGTGCTGGAAACGCACAACCCGCTCGGCGGATCCGTGTTCCCAACACCTCGGCGGTGCCCATTATAAAGACACGGAAGGATGTGGACTTTGGACAGGTGATATCCATGTTCCTCACTGTCCTCCCGAACATTAAGGAACGCTTCGGCATTTCGGAGCTGAGGCCAAAGCGGGCCCTTGCTAGAAAGCTTCAAATGATTGTTCCTGGCGAGAGACACGTAGAGAAAGTTAATCTCCGCGTGGATGGCGGAATATGCGGCGAAATACGACCTGGGGGTCCGGGGGAATCGCGTGCCCCGTTAAGACCGGAAAACTCCGGCTGATGGGGTTTGATTCGACCGTCACCCCCAAAGAACTCGTTGAGGCCGTCGCACGAGGAGGTGGATGCGCGGAGGAACAGGTGCGGATCAAAACAATCCGCACCACTCCCGCAGGCAGAAGCGCGTGCTGGGCCCAGTGCCCTTTGGCTGCGGCCAGAAAACTGGGCATGGCAAAACGCGTTCAGGTGGGCGAGTGGTTCTCGGTCTCGGTCGAAGTGCTGCTACCTCGCCGACTGAGGTGCCACAGATGTCTCTGCACGGGTCACGTGCGGAGGCACTGTTCTTCAGCAGTGGACTGCAGCGGCTTGTGTTACCGTTGCGGTGCCCCAGGTCACGGGACGCGGGCATGCTCGGCCAAAGAGCCGAGATGCCCGCTGTGCTCGAACCTGAAGGTCCGGGCAAACCACAGGCTGGGGGGGGCCAGCGTGCCACCCCAAGCTTGAGCGTTGTAGAGGCCGTAGTTCAAAAGCGGCGAGGACGTCCTCGTCGGTCATTGGGCGCGGTAGGAGTAGAGAGATCGTCCCGCCCCGGAGTGGTTCACCCTTGGCCTTGGCCGAGACTCCAGCTGGGGAAGTGGTCGGCCCTCAACTCCGGTCACAGGGAGAAACTCCTGTGTCTTCAGGGACACAGGGGCCTGGATCGACGGCTGAACCATCCCGCAGGGTGGCAAGGTCGCCGAAGAGAAGAGCCTCCCTACCGTCGCCGCATAGAACGGCAAAGAAAGGAAGAAGCATGGGTGTACCAGCCACGAAGGAAGCTTCGGGGGACGAAAAGGAACAACGTGCTCGCATGTTAGCAGCACTCCTAGGCCTCACAAAGCCAAAGTCAAAATCCAGTAGACCTGGCCCTGCCTTCTCCAAGAAGTAACTTGGCGGAGGCAGATGCTAGGGCAAGAGATGGTGAGATATTGCACCCACCTTTCTTGGTTAGGAGGGAGGAGGGTCACTCTTGTCTTTTGGGATACCGCTGGCTCTCAGTACGCATAGTTTCTCTGTGTTTTGGGTAGCGTCTTCCACGAAGTTTGACGCAGGGTCACACGGAAGGTTCTGGCGGGGGCCAGAATCCCCTATTGCACGTGACCCGTTATACCCGGCGAGGGAGCATGGCCCTTTCTCGCCGTGGGTGAGGAGGTTACCTTCAGTCGAGGCAAAGGCGACATTTTATCGCCCCAGCGGGTTGAAAGGGCCTACCGCGTATTCTTTTTAGAACATCCCAGAATCCCCTCTGCTAGTACCGCGTGAAAGAGACCATTGCTGAGGTTTCAGTTGGTATACCTTTTATCTCCCTTTGGAAGTAGGGGGGAGTCCCACATAACCCTGGTCCTAATTCTCTAAGGCCAGGGTATCCGTAATGGATTTCCTCAGCGTAAAAAAAAAGACTGTGGCCGGAGCCTGAGAGTGGTACACCACCTTGACGTGGTTCCCAGGCTTGTGTACCGTGATGATCTGAGGGGCTATGCCGGCGGGAACTTTGGTTCCTGGCAGGGTCTCCCTTACCGGACAGGTTCTCAGTGAACGGTCAGACTAAAAGTGTAGCTAGAGGAAAGAAAAATGAATTTGCGACCAAAATGAAGAAAGTCCTCCGGGATATGGGGGTCGTTGTTTGCCGCCCGAAGCGCAAGGGTGACTTGCGCGTCTCGGGTTTTGACGACTCCGTATCTCCGGAGGAATTGAAGGCGGCCCTGGCGTCGGCCGAGAATTGCCGGGAAGCAGAGATCCGCTTGGGCGATGCCCGGACTCTGCCTTCCGGTCTATGTAGGATTTGGGTGCAGTGCCCCGTGGATGTTGCCAAGAACTTGGCAACAGCCCGCACTGTAAAGATGGAATAGGTGCTTGCGCGCGTTGAGGCGCTCAAGGCCCGCCTTCTGCGGTGCTACCAATGTTTGCGCCCGGGGCACACGGGGCACTTTTGCCCCAGAAGCGAGGCGGACCGCAGCGGCCGCTGTTACCGTTTTTTTTATGAGGGGAAATGCATTATGCACCCCCGCCCTGTGGACATTTGGGCAGGGAGTGTGGGACTCGCACCCACTAAAACCCGTCAATGGCCTCCACCGGACATAGTGAGGAAGCCTGTGGCAGCCAAAAGGCTATTACTTCTCCAGGCCCCCACAAGTCCAAGACATGTCCCCAAAGGACAACGCCCCCTATCACCGTCGTCTTTAGAGTTGCGGTAGGAGGAAAGGGCCATGGCCCTCCTCGAACCGCCCCTCCCTGGGGACTTGTGCGATGGCGTGGCAAGTTCCCCAACTTGCCACACCAAGTCCCCGCCCCCCGTGACGGAAAACAGGAGCGGTCAATACAATTTTTCGTATCCCTTGCCCGCAAACAAGCAGCCTCTTAACAGGGGCTGGGTCCAGGGGTCTCGCCCGAGCCGTGACCCCTCCACCCCGAGCACGGAAACTGCTTCCAAGCCAAGCCTATTTGCTCGACTTGGAGGACTTGGGTCCCGGCTTTTCTCTACCTAGTGGAGGGGAGGCCGACTCGCCTCCCCTCTGCCGCTTGGGGGAGGGCTCCTTAGTGGAGCCTCCCCCTGAACTCGGCGCTTTTTGCGCCGCATCCTTTGTTGAGGGCTTAGCGACTTTGCGGTCTCTGGTCCCGGCCACTTTCCTTTTGTGGAGAGGGGGAGGCACCGCGCCGTCTCCACTTCCCTGTTTCCTGATCTCCGGCTCTATCCGGAGACCGGAGGGCTCCTTACTAGAGGCAGAGGCCCCAGTGGCCTCCCCCCTTTCTTCCGCGGCGGGCTTTGTGCCTTTGGAGGAGGCGGACGGGGAAGGAACATCCTCCCGCGCTTTGCTCTTTTCCGGCCACAGCGGGACCAAGCCCTCTTCCGGAAAGAGGAGATAAACCCCCTCTCCATCCTCCTCCTAGCCGGAGGAGTCCCCGCCGGTACTCCGGGCCCGCCGCTTTCTCCTCTTCTTTGGGGAGGAGTCCGGCACCGCCCCCTCTCTGCCTTCCTTGCCACCGGGCAGCGGAGGCGCCAGAACTCCGGCGCCCCACCTGGTGGCTACGTTCTTTTTCGGCATGAGGGCGCAACTTGCGCCGCCCATTCAATGGTTCGCTGGCTGCCTTCGGCTCGCACACAAAGTGCATTTGGAGACAGCCTTACAGTTAATGGCGAGGTGGCCGTTTTTCCCGCAACGGTAGCACGCCGTGCTCCGATCTACACCGTAGCACTTGCGTGCCACGTGTTCGTACTCGAGGCACCAATAGCACTGCATTCGCCGTGCTACCAGCGCCTCGACGGGGAGGCTGAACCACCCCACTTTAACACGCTTTGCTCCCACTACCTGCCGGGTTGTCCTCAGGGGCATAGGGGCCCATAAAATCCCGTACCTGACGGGGAAGGAGCAAACCAGCCCAGTGCGAACCTCACTGGGCTGGCAGTTACTCGCCGCCGCTAATGCGGCGGCAATGTCCTTCGCAGAGAAGGGGGGCACTATGTCCGGCACGCAAACTTCCGCGTGCTTTACGGGACTGGTGAATTTTACCCCTTCTACGCCATCAAAAACCTTTGACGCCCTCTCAACAAGGGCGTCGGCCTTCTCCGCTCTTCCAGGCCCGGGTACCTGGAGGAGCATGCCACCGTTGGCCGTTCTTTTTATCCGGAGGCCGGAAATTCCGACCTCCTTCAAATCGACGGCGGCCGCCGCCTTTCTCATAACTGTGGCATAACTGTCGCCCTCCCCCACGGTAAGGAAGACGGCAGCCCCAGTGGGGAGTTTGCCGAGCTTTGCCCTCTCCGCCGCCCCGGAGCGCTGACTCGCGCCTACGGGAGCCGCGGGAGAGCGACGTTTCTCATCGGAAGGATGCTCCCTCTCCTTCCTCCGAGCCTTGCGCCCCACCACCGTCACCCAGGTGGTCGAGCTGGATTCAGTGGCGGATGCGCCCAAGGATTGAGGGGCGAGCTCTCTCCTAATTAGAGAGAGGATAAGGTAAGTTTAAATAACAAAATGTAATAAAAAAATAAAATAAGTTACTAAGGCCTTAAGCCTTACTTTTGCGCACGTCTTATGCTTAAACTTTACGTCTAAACATCGCGCTAGTAAAACAAAACAAAATAATATATCTCGGGGCATTATGCGCTCTACGACAATAAATACAATAAAATAACATAAAACTATGTCTCCATCTGCTGACGGCTCGTTTAAGTGTCATTTGTCCCTATACCCTAGGGAACTTCTCTCACGTGTCTTTCACGTTTGGTTTTTCGGACTGGTTTCCGCTCGATGTTTCTTCGCGCTGTCTTTGCTCCTGGGTGTATGTCACTAAAGCTGACGGTGACAAGGTTAGGTTGTGACCGGGGTTAGTCTTACTTTTAGTCAGGTACTCACGGTAATTGTATGCCACGGTCGCCAGACATTTTATCTTCCAAGTGACAAAGTGTTTTTCTTTGTTCTAGGTCTACGGATGCTGCAGCGGGATCTCAGGAAACACGGATGGACAAGCCAGAGAGAATACAATTCGACACAGTTTTTTAACGGTGATTAAACTTTTTATATACTTTATTAACACTGTCTATGCAATAATAATGCTTTCATATATATAAAACAAATTTACATAAATCACATTTATGTACTTTGAGTCTCTTGAACTATTTTTATGCATGCACGCTTGTACGCACGTCCGCTCGGCACGCTAGTTCTCTTACGACTGACTTTGAGGCGTCGCACGCCTTCTTCTCCGCGTTCATGTCCACTACGCCGGCGCGAGATAGTCCCTTTTTCAACCTCTGCTATTTCTGTAGAGGTTCCCCCTTAAAAAGAGATTTTTTGCGTGTGTGTAGAGCTGTTGAGTGTAGTAAATGTTTGGTGTATGAATAGTTCGTTAATATTAATGTTTGTATAATTGTGGTATGGAATAAATGTGAATCATAAGAGAGTTTATTTGTGTGTGTGGCATGTATAGGTGTGTGTTATGTATTTGATATGTGTAACTTTCCTTACTGTGTATGTTTAGCGTTGTACCTGTTATGTGTGTGAAAGTGTGACTTAACGGTTGTGTGTGTGTACACTATGGGTGCCTGTGATGTTGATTGTGTTTGTACGAGTTCTCATTGAGTGTCTTGGTGTGTATGTGTGTTTATATACGTGTAACTTTTGTGTGTATCTTAAAGAAGTTTGTTCGTGTATTCGGAGAATGTTTGTGTGTGTAAACTTTGTGTTGTAGTTTTTAATCCTTAAGTGTTTTGTTTTAGTGTCTGTGTAGTGTAAAGTTAAACTAGCCCTTAAGAGCTAATATCGTATGTGTGTGTTGTCCTTATCTGTCTGAGTAGGATGGTGTGTTTTAATCCTTAATGTGCGTGTTGTTTCCTAACTATGTGTGTGTATGAAACTCTGTTGATTTCTCCTTATAAACAAAACAAATTTTTAAATCAAAACTTTTCCTTTCACAAGTGGGTCGGACCTTTCGCAAACTCTTTGCATACACAAAGACGTCTATACATA